ATAAAACTTGCATGCTGAATTTAAAACATGAATGTAGAATATAAAACTTGCATGCTGAATTTAAAACATGAATGTAGAATATAAAACTTGCATGCCGAATTTAAAACATGAATGTAGAATATAAAACTTGAATGTAGAATATAAAACTTGCATGCTGAATTTAAAACATGAATGTAGAATATAAAACTTGAATGCTGAAGTTCAAAACTTGAGCGTAAAATTCGAAACTTGAATGTCGAGTGTAAAATTTGTATGTTGAATTTGAAACTTGAATGTCAAATTCAAGGCACGAATTTTGGCGGGGATCGTACGCCATATAAGAATAATAGTCACTAAATAAAAACTGTTAGGTATTAACTACAGTATTTAGATCTTATTTCATGGACACAGTTTAAGCACTCTATATAAACATTGATTGACCAAAATTTGGCAAGAACCCTGGCAGTGTCACTAAAAACCACAGTACATTCATAATAGTGCAATATGATCAATCGTTTGGGATAACGCTCAAAACCTTTTTTAAACAGTTAGAAACTGATGTACTATGATAAAATGCCTGTTTGAAGCGGTATTTTCAATTGTACAAAGATGTTTTGTTGCATTTGTTTTAGAATGTTGCTTTGTCGGGCTTTTTTATAGAAAATATATGGGAAATAAGCAAATGAAGGCCTAAACGTCATATTCGAGTAAAATATTTGGATCTAATTGATAGAATTGATGGTTTTCAACCATTCCCATGAGAATTAAATAACAAAAGAAACGGCGGCCATGTTGGAGGATATTACGAAAAAATTCATTGACAATTCTTTTGTTAAGTTCCTTCAACATGGCCGCCGTGAAACCATCAATTCCAGTACTTAGAAAGTCTCTTGTTTTCTCTATAGATCCTAAATGGTAAACGCAAAATCTATCTGTACAAACAGACTCTATCCAATGTCTTATCACAGGTCAACATCAATTTTGTCATCATTAATCCTTCTGTTGTAGTTTCCATTGCTTTATCATCCAGAATCAATTTTCTCTATTATTCATATAAATTATATCTTCATTCTGTATATTCTGCTTCAGTGTATTTTCTTCTAACCATTTGATATTTGACTTGATTTATAGCAAGACATTTCCACACGTTCCGTCGATTTTGTCGCGGGTCGGAATTTTTTTCTTATATTTAGGTAATTTTTTTGGTATAAAGAGAGAGAATTGTTAATCCATACTAGGATATTTGATTAAATGATAATTTGGCTTTAATAATCTGTCGGTTTTATGATTTGTCGTTCTCTCAAACCTCATATTAATCCTCTTAAATAAGTGAGATAAAAAGTCAAACCAAGTATTCCTCCATTTTAAATCGGCGTTGCAAGGGCGGATCCAGGATTTTTTTGAGGGGGGGGGGATGCAAAACCTACACGCAATAGGTGACGTCATTTTTTCACGTCATACGTAAACTATACCAGTCGTAACAAAAGTAAACCTACATAACAGTCATGACTTTCAATAGAAAAGGTTTTCGATATTATAATGTAAATTAGCCTTTTCATAGTTTAAGAATCGATTCCACTGCGCATGCGATTTTATCCCGAATTTCTCACCTTCTTTTGTTTGATTAAGAACAAAAGAAAGTTTAGACAAAAGAAGGTAGAAATTCGGGATGAAATCGCATGCGCAGTGGAATCGATTCTTAAACTGTGAAAAGGCTTATTCTTTCCTTCCGCGACACAGGAAGCCCAAAAACAAAAGCGGAGCGGCAAAGGAGAGGGTACAGCGTCTGGACTAACCTACCTACCTACCTACCTACCTACCTACCTACCTACCTACCTACCTACCTACCTACCTACCTACCTACCTACCNCCTACCTACCTACCTACCTACCTACCTACCTACCTACCTACCTACCTACCTACCTACCTACCTACCTACCTACCTACCAATCATTCTAGTTAAAAATGTAGCACTTTTCCCCAGTCCCTGAAGGAAATCTTTTTGTTAAAACTGCACTCACCATAGCCTCGGTATTTTTTGACCAGGTTTATATAGTATTGTTTCGTACCAAGGGCAGAAAGACTATTTCTAGTACTGATCCTTTACTCAATGAACACTCTATTAGTTCAAAGAGCTCACGGCCTTTTTAAAAATGTTCTTATCCACCAATCTTCAACGCAACGAGTAGCTGATAGCAAAGATTCCTCAATTCAATGTCTAAACCAATCAATGCTGATTATACATTTAATCCTCGCTATCTATTTCTCACATCTCATTATCATCCTTACTCCTCCTCACTTCTCCATTTGTTTAATCCTCTACAACCCGAACATTTTATGAATCCACAGGMAATCAGAATGTCCACTTGATCGCAAACAGCTCAACATAGAACAGGTGTGTCACTACATTCTCGTTTGTTAAAAAAGCCGTTTTTTTAATGCTAACAGCTCTCGTTTGTTAAAAAAAATTCATGCTAACATCTAGTGTTTTTATGCGAAGGACGTGTTTGATGACAAGGCAGCAGAACGAGCTGTGAAGTCACTGCGTATCACGTGTTCCAGAAGATGTAAGGGCTGTCCATGGCAGGGAGAGTTAGCAGATGTGAAGGTATCTGTTGGATACTTTCATAGTCTACACTACACTGTAAAAACTGACTGGTTGAAACAACCAAAAAAAAAATGGTTATAACCAATTGAAACAGTTATTACAACCAATTTGTTATTGGTTGAAAAAATGACCAATACTGATCGATATGGGCCGTTATTACTAGGTATTTTTTGGTTAAAACGACCTAAATACTTATCCCAATTGTTGGATAAGATGACCAATATGGTTTTTATTAACAGATTTATTTTGGTTAAAATAACCAACATACTTATAACCAATTAAAACATCCATTTCAACCAATTTCTTATTAATTAGTTGATAAAAAAACCAATAAAGTTATTTGTAACCAAACAAAACGGACAAAACTGAGCTACTAAAAAAAACTGAGCTACTAGACCTCTTGTTCGGTGAACGAGGCCGGTCTAGATGGTATTTAAGCCTGATCACTTAGGACGAACGCTTTTCAAGAACCTCCCGAAGGTAGCTCAATGAGTTCTCTATATAGCAAACAGAAATTCACAGGTTCGATTTCCGCGGCCTGGAGCTCGAAAAAAGATGGAAAACAAAAATCACAGCTTTAATAACTATACAAGCACACACAAAAAATCTTAATATAATAAATATACTCATATACTGTTTCTAGCTGACAAGGTCTTAAAAATACGGTAAAAGTTCTATTCTTAAATGAATGTTAAAAGAGATAATGATTTTTTTTTTTTTTACAAAATGTTGAAATTGCATGTTCGCTCGTTATCGTTTTCTACCAATTTTAAAATCGTAGCTAGATTTTAGCAATGAAATTTTAACCACAATATGATTGGCTAAATTGACAAGAAGTAACCTAAACTGGTTGTCTCAGTTGCATTACCGGCTTACCTTAAAAAATTGGTTATAATAACCAATATATTTTGGTTGTAATAATCCCAACTTAATTGTTCATAATAACCAATATTATTATAGTTAGAATAACCATATTCCGGAACTAATAAAGAAGGTTATTTTAACCATTAAAAAACTGGTTCTCTCAATTGCATAAAGCTAACCAAGGGCATTGGATTAGTCTCTATATTTTGTTCTTTGCCCTTTTGCCCTCCTTTGAATCGTTTTTATAGATATACAATTAGTTTGTTATCAACATTGTTATTTTGGAGAGAATAAAAAGAAACAAATAAAATACAGTATCACTTCATCATTACACCGTCTTTTCAGATTCAAGGTGACTTAGTTCTGATTAGTTTTTATCTTCTTCCAGGTGCATGAGCAAAAGTGTGACTACATGATTGTACCTTGTACCTTTCAACGCKCTGGATGTGMCTTCAAGGTATACTGACATGATTGATAATTAACTTATGTTCTGTAGGATGATAGTTATTGTAGTAGAAAAATAGGACTGTTTGGGCCAGGATCTGATGAAAGACATTCATAAATAATCTTTTTTACAATTGGAGCGATTATACAGGTCACGTACAAGGACCTCTATTCCCGATAAAGTCTTGTTCACTACCATCATTACCATAGGCCTTTTCTGAGATACACCGGAAGTGAGCGAACGCAAAGCATTATGGTCTAGATTCGGTACAAATACGATCAACATACCATTTTGAAGAGAACGTATAGTGAAAACACGGATGACAATATGACTCGCTGAAAACACAAATACACCACAGCCATTCTCTTTATAAAAGAATACTTACGAGGATGACATTATCAAAAGATGAATTACGTTTTCTATAAAGATATATATATCATGAAGGACTGTCTTGGTGCTGCAGGGGCGTAGCAAGGACATAGTCTCGGTCATGGAGAGAGCGGGGGGAAGGCAATGTACCATTTCAACGCCAAGCTAGTGAATCACCCTGCAGTACACCAGCTGTGATGTCAAACATCTATGTTTCTCCGTCCGGTGAGATCACTTTGGTCTTTGTGTTCGTATACATTTTCTCAATTGCTTGCAGTAGGTTTGGCGAGATCCCATAAGCTTTTAGAATACGCATCATTTTACCTCGATGTATTGAGTCAAAAGCTTTCTTGAAATCAATGAAGGTCATGACAGCCTTGATGTTATTAGCTTTAACTCTTCAATTATTCTTCTAAGGGTTAGCATTTGGGCCACTGTAGATCGTTTGGGACGGAAACCATTCTGGTTTACTCTGAGTCGGATATTAATTACAATCCTGATTCGGTTTAGTATCATGCGATTGTACATTTTGGCTATTATGCAAATCAGCCTGATTCCCCTGTAGTTATCAGTCTTTGACAAGTCCCCAGATTTTGATACAGGGATGATATTCATAATTGACCATAGGTCAGGTTTGTCATTCTTAATCAGAGCTTGATGATTGCAGAAGTCTAGACATATGTCGTCGAAGTCACATAACTTGAATACTTCGGGTGGTATGTCATCTGGGCCAGCTGCTTTCCCGGTCATTGATCTCAAGGTCCTCAAAGATGCTTGGAACTTCCTCATCTGGGTCCTCTACATCTGGAGGGTTACCGAGGAGCTTCCTGAAATGGGAGAACCATGTGCTCACTCGTTACTCAGGGCTTGAACCCTCTACTTGACCTTCTTTAGCCTTTTTCCTTCCAGTAATCTCATTCACTGTCTTCCATGCCTCACCATATTTCTGAGCACCATGCACAGCTTCGATATTCTGAATTTGAGTCTCATGCAAGTTCTACCTCTCTCTCCTGATCATACACGTGGTATAAATTTCTTAGTGCTTGAGGCCAGGCATCTTTATCCTCTTCAGTAATGGTATTTTCATACTGACTCTGCGCCACCAGTGCTTCTTGACGTGCTGCTACCACTCGTGCGTTTGATGACCTAAGGGATTTCTTTGTTTTTGTTTTCCTGGGCAGGCATTCTTCCATAGCTTTTCTGTTGACTTTGAAAAATTTATCTTACTTAACTCCATTACTATCTTCACAGCAACTGTGTATTTCCGCTGTAGTTCTGGGTCAGTAGAAAACTGCCTCCAATCATATTTCATCTTTTTGTCTACTTTAGATGTTCTGTGGCTCAGCCTGATTTTAGCACATACTACCCGGTGGTCTGATCCTACTGTGCTGAACGTGTTGTAAGCTTCAGCATCCTGAACCCTGTTCTCCACTTTCGACGAACTAGAATGTAGTCCAGTTGCCGTAATGAGTATGATGCCCTGTCTTTGAAGGTTCACAGTTTTCCTGAACGCTTCTGAAACTGTGTGTTAGATGCTATCAGGCAGTACTCAGATAATAATTCTACGAGATACTCTCCATTCCTGTTCGTTTTGTCATGATATGTGAATGGTACGTCGACTGGCCCTAGTCTTGCATTAAAATCTCCCATACATGCAAGGAAGTTATGTGCCGGGACATCCTAAAGAGTGTTTCTCAGGTCGTTGTAAAATTCCTCGACTTCTTCTTCATCTGCACAGTTGGTAGGTGAATATACGACAATCAMTGTTGTTTTAGGATTGCCGTCAAATTCAGCGATCATGATTCTTTTACCGATACTCTTGGCTTTTAGCAGGGCTTTTCTTGCTTTCTGACCTAACAGTAGTCCCACTCCACCTTGGGAAGCTTGTTTTTCATTTCTCCAACCTGAGGATGTTATAAAGTAACTGGTACCGATTTTTCTGAACTCAACGGGGTCATTATGGATGATACGATGCTCATGTACTCCCAGTATTTCAATGCCTAGGTGATGATTGCATTGCTCTAGTTCCAAGGCTCTGTCTTCATCTCTTAAGGTGTTTGCGTTGTATGTCCCCATGTATAAAGACTTCTTACAACGCAGAAGGGCCTGCATACATCTGCTATTCTCAAACGCTTCCTCCCGTGAAACCTGGTTTGTGGATACGTCGTCATTCTGTTGATCTGGAGATCGACTAGCTTCAGTATTGCTGGCTGAGTTCCTGCTCACTCCCGGAGCTGGAAGTATAGGATTTGCTCTATCTGGGGAATCCATAGTGGTTGTCTAACAAAGCTATTAGAGAGTTTTAGATTGACTTTTTTTTCTCCCCGCAAACGGCAAACGTGACCACGTTTTCGTAGTTTTCCTGTATTTTACTTTTCTATTTACAAACCTTCTCACCAAGCGCAAATACTCTTTTGCTTTTCTACTACTTGGACTTTTTTGCGATTCTTTTTCACTCATTTAAAAGAATATTTTACTGGTCAACTGACGTTTCACGTTTGCCGTGAACGTAAATCTAAAACTCTCTATTAACTCACACCGGACGCCACGCCTCAAGTGAATACTGTTGGCCGATTTGGAATAAAATCCTTCCTTCGCTCCATTTTATGACATAAGCAGCGTCAGTAGCTTCCTCTAACAAGAGAATAACGTAAGACGCACTACCCTTTGCCAGACCTGCAGCCGTGTTGACTAGCAGAACTGCTGGTGGGTGTTCACCATGCTTGTTAGCATACACGACTTAACCCCGGCAAGGGAGGCTAAGGGTGTACTGACACTTGCCAAGGTGAGCACCCAGACTAGTGGAGAGAAGGAGGCGTCTTGCTTCTCCATTCTAGAACGGCTCCTAGCAAAGTCTAGCCACTGCCCTAAAAACATGTTTTCTTAAATGTTTCAAAAGGTGACAAAACTGTCAGGGAACATCGGGAAACATGTTTACTCAATAGCACAGCATTAACATTTTTGCGTCTTGGAAGATAAATTTGTTGCACGTAGCAATGTTTCACATGTGGCTAAACTTGGAATCATCGGGGAACATGCGCGCGGGAAACATGTTTCTGGAAACTTGTTTCCTCGTTTAACCAGGGCCTTATTTCATAATAAGGATACATTTAGATTTAACTAGTGTCACGTGGTCATCTTTCAACCAATGATAGTCCTCGTTATATCGGAAAATTTCGTAGCTATACACCGAATCAAAAAATGGCGACCAATTTGAATAACTATTGTTCTGTACTGACTAGCGACTAACTAGCCTCTCATACATGTGTAAACGCTTTTGTGTTTCCACGTGAACACGAGGCTAGTCAGTCGCTTGTCAGTCCGGAACAATATTATTCAAATTGGTCCGCGCCATATTTTGATTCGGTGTATATAAAAAAACTACTGTAGTTAAATTAGGCAACATGTAGCCCGAGCTGTGTCTCGGTATTTAATAGTCATTTCAAAATAACACATCTCTATCCCGATAATAATCAATATAAGAGTCAGAGAATATTTAATTTATGTCTTTAACTCTCGGATCAATTCTCGTCCAAATCACTTCATAGTTTTACTGACAATAAAAGAATGATTTGACAAAGATATAGGCAATTTATATATAGATGATTTTATTATATCCTTACTTATGTTATTGATTTTATTGACTTTATCCACATACATTCTCCTATAATGACATACAGATAATAAGCTTGACCTGCTAGGTAAATAGGCATCAGGTAGATATCGAAGATGGCGGCGTACATAACAAAGGCGCCCGTCAATAAGCCTCAAGCATGATGACGGTTATTAACTACACTTCTAGAATCCCTTTCGGTAGCATTTTTTGTTATGTCAATTTTCCCTATATCTTAATATTTTCAAAGGAGTTTTGACATTTGAATATGAAAAGATATTTTGAAAAGGAATGTGGTAGTTTAGGTATGAAACGTCATTAGGATTAGGGTCTATTATTTGTATCACCCGCCATATCTTTTTCCTTATGAACGAGCGCGATTTTTAAGGTGGCTGCCTACTGAACGTTCGATTTAAGCCCACGATTTAGTTTGCGCGCGCACCAAAAAAGCAGAATAAGGTACAGTTCAGACGTCGAACTTTAGCAGCGTCGAATCTAATTGCCTTTGAGGCAAGCAGCTAAGAAAACGCCGAGAACTTAGCTCGTTTGCTTAGCGTCAGGACATTCTGGTATACATTCTTCTAATAAAATTGAAATTCTAATAAAATTTTGAAGGTTATTCAGCGGTTTTCGTGCGCGCGCACATCGTGGGTTCAAACCGAACATTCAAAAGCAGACAGTCACTAGTACCTTAAGAGCTGATTATCTCGAAAACAAGCTCTGGATACCCCATTTTTCTTTTCATATTTGGAATCAGCATTACATTTCGCTTTAAGGCGAATCCAACATAATTGTGAATCCAACATAAAGACGTATCGCGTCAATAACAATCGAATATTTTCTTTTGAATTTAGGACATATAGTGGCTCAAACATTTAGGATTTTTAACGGTGTATTCGAAATATTATTTTTGAGTCGCGTTTGCCGTTGCGGGCCGGTTTTCTAACAGTTGTTTTTCACAATATTAACCTCCTGCTCGCCTAAAAATCGATCGGTTTTCATGAAACTTCAGATTACAAAATTAACTTGGTTTATAGAGGATAACACTTGACAGTAATYCAACTAATAAGTCGTGGTCCTCTTTTAATATCTATAGATCTATATATATTACGCATGTCCCGCATGTTCTTTTAATATCTATAGTTAATTAGGGACGGGACCRCCATTTATAACGTGGTCATSCGATCCACGTGAAGGTCTAACCATTTGCAGATATTATTACAAAGGCAGCACCTTCTCCTCAGTTATTTAAGACCCTGAGTGTTGGTCCTGCCGAGGCTTGAACCAAGACCTGCCGACGCTCTTACCAACTGAGCTAACCGGGTGGCGGTCAGATTCTTTGTAAACATATTGTCATCATTGTCTGCCGAGTTCAAAGAAAATCTATAGAGCGCAAGTAGTTGTTCGGCAAAATAGGCCAAAAAATAGCATAAGTAAAATGTGCTATGAGATTTTCTCCAAACTCGGTCGGCAGAATTAATTATGACCATCTATGTATTAAAAATCGGAAGTTTCATGTACTGCATAGGAGTTATCCCGATGTTGTGATTATAAGCATGGGTCTAACGGATAAGTAGTTGATGTTGTCTGAAGGGAACAAATAAGCTCTAATCTTACATCAGACTTTCTTTGAATCACTCATTTTAGACACAGAGGAAAAACATGGAAGAACATGTTGAAAAGAAAATCAAAGAACATCTCGCTTTGACACAAGTTATAACTCTTACAAGTAAATTCATTTGGAAAATAAACAATTTTACCGATGACTTAGAAAAGGCTAAACAACCTGGACAGGAACAGAAACGTATGTACAGTGATCCATTTTACACTGACAAGTATGGATACAAAATGAGGGTTCAGTTGTACCCCAATGGAAACACGGATGAAGCCACTGGACATGTATCAATATTTATTCAGCTGCTGAGAGGTGAATACGATGCAGTATTACCCTGGCCTTTTGCAAGGAAGATAACCGTCACTCTGTTGGATCAGAAAAAAGACTTACAAGAAAGAAAGAATGACGAAAACACTATACCCTACAAGGACATGTTAAACAACCCAGGGTCCTTCAATAGACCAACTACAGATTCAAATACTGGACTTGGCTTCCCAAACTTTATATCACACGAGAAATTGATGACCGAAAACTACATCGTTGATGATACAATCTTCGTACAAGTAGAAGTCAGAGAAGAATACACTGGAACTGAATAACTAGAGTCTAATAGACCCAGTCAGCTGCCATAATGTGACGGTCGTTACTTAGATGGTGATTGGTACAGTACTAACTAATAGAGATATGATCACTACTAGGGGGTGAATACTAAATATTCATTTTTATTTGATAAATAATGTTTTTTTGATTACCCACTATGTAATGTATCGATTTGTAATAACTATTGATAGTAGAATAGTGTCAGTAGGGCGTTGATAAACATTGTCTTTATTATGGATTTGATT